GGGGGGGGGGTGGCATATATATATATATAAACATTCATATAATATCTATCTATGATTATGTATAGATACATAAATATTATTATATTGAGACTCACGTGTATCTATTCCAAAAGACAAATACAAGAGCTCGGCGTTCCTGTTGAGCGGCAACCTGCGCCCAAATTATCCGGAATATTTTGAGCAGGAGACGTTCTACTCTTCCGCGTCTCCTGCCCCAAAATTTCCAGGACATTTTGGGGCCGACGTCGTTTCCCCACGATTCTCGCTCCAAAATTATCGGAAAAAATTGGGGCAGGAAACGCTTCTTGGCGAGGCCCTAAATTTCCAGAAAATGTTCGGACGATCTGTCGCAAAATTTCTATGAAATTTTGATGATCATTTTTTGACTATAACCGCTTATCATCTCTAAAAAAAATCGCGAAGGCGAGATTATCCTAAATTGTTGGAGCGAGAGCTTTGGTCTTTCGTCCCAAAATTTTCGGAATATTGTATGGTACAAGACACTATGATGAAGCTCCAACGTCTGAAATATACTCCTTCGTGCGATCAGTTCGGCGGTATCAAGTATACGAATAAAAACACGAAGACATTATCGCCGCGAAGAAGTTTCTATCGCGACGATGATCTTTTCTACGATTTTGGGAAGCTTGAACAGTCCGTCCAGCGCGCGTCGCGCGTTATCTGTCGTAGCATCGGTCGTCATCCGTCCGTGGACTGGCGCGCGGTCGTCCGTCGCCGTCATCTGTCGTCCGACGTGGTGCCCGTCGTCCGTTGTTCTCGCTGTCGTCCGACGTGGTGCCCGTCGTCCGTCGTCGCGTCGTCTGGCGTCATAGGTCCATCGTCTTGTCGTGTGTCGTCGTGTCGTCCGTCTTCATATCGTCGTCTGTCGTCTGGGGTCGTCTCTTCTGTCGTCCTCTCGTCTGTCTATTTGTCGTCTGTCGGTTGTCTCTGTCTTCTGCCGGGCGTTTGTCGCCCGTAATTGTATATTATATCATTTGTTATCGTGTCGTTCGGGTTAGGTCTCTTGTTATCTCGTCGCGTAATAATATGTCATCTGTCGTCGTGATATCCGCTTTTTCGTCTCTCGTATCGACCGATATCGTGATGATTGCCTTTATATCATTTATTATGATATTATCGTTTCTCGTCTATTCTAGCTTTTAATATTTATTATCTGTGATTTGTCATTATATCGTTTGGAATCGAATTTATAATCATTTTATGATGAGATATTGGTTTAAAATATTTATCTTGTCTATATTCTTGAATATTATTTAGATTTGGATTTATTATTATTATATTTTTATCTTTATTAATCTAATTGTCGTTGCCGCCGAAAAATCGGAACGAGGACTTTGAATGATTTTCTATTTCTTTATATTAAGAAGATTAAAATTAGCTATAAATTGATAGCGACGACTTAAGAAATACTTATTATATCCGAATAAAGACATAATTAATTTAGAATTTAATTGTACTTAACTTAGTACGAGGATCCGATCTGGATCTTTGGCCTCTTTGTGGGATTTAATTGGGATTCGGATTTAATTATGATTCGACTAAGATTTGATTGCGACAAGGGTTCTCGAAACCCGATCAATTTCTAATTGAATCTCTCTGGCTCCCTCTCTTTATGCTGTCCTTGTGATATAATTGAGAATAGAGAATTCATTATCGTAACAAATTACTATAAATCATAGATTCATTTTGAAATTATAGCTATATTATGAAAAATCATAATGATAGAAAAATATCGCGATAAGAAGAAAATAAACGATAATTTTAATTCCAATTATTCTGAATACATAGTATCTTCTTTATATTCATTCAAAACAGATTAAGCTATAAAAATGAGGTAATTAATCTAATAAAAAATGAATTAAATCGTCCAGATAGAGATATAAATAAATTAATATTGGATTTGGAGGCAAAAATAAATACGGGGATCTTATTGGCAAGATTTCAGAATAATTTATAAAACCAATTTGGGATTTGTCAAAACCTCTGGCAAGAATCAAGAAATTAATTGGGATTTGAAAGCTGGCTTGGAGCCTGCGAAGAATCCAGGAAGAATCCAAGAAGATAATTAATAAGAATTTTTAACCGGGCAAGCGACATAAATAAAATTAAAGGACCGGATAACCCCTCATGTGTAATTTAAGCATCGACACGAAACGCAAAAACAGTGGGAGAGCGAGTGAGGGAGTAAGTCAGTGAAGGAGTGGGTGAGTGAGTGAGAGAGTGTGTGTGTGTGTATGTGGGTGTGTGTGTGTGTATCTGTCTGTGCGCGTGTCTGTGCGCGTGTGGTCGATATCATTTCAGCAAGGAAAAGGTTATCTTTTTTGCAGCGAACTCCGGGTAGACGAATACGGCTACTAGTCCTCTATGGAGCAGTCCACAGATATCCTCAAATCAAGTGCCTTCAAGCCACGCTTCTCAGTGCGAGTCGTGTGCAGCCAGGTATCTAGCAGAGCAGTACTTCTCTAACGGCATGTACAATAGGAATGCATCAATAGAGCAAAAGATATGCGACTCGAGCCAGCACAGCAAACCTACGCCCGCCGAAATCGGCCGAGACTCATCCTTGGACATAAGGCAAGCGCGCCCCTCCCGCACTCGAAGACGAGTAGCCATAATATACAAGTCAACGTATCCAGCACATTTCCAGAAGACGATTGCTCCCGTGGGTCCAGGGCAGAAGCTGGTCGCCGCTGCGAGCACAAAGTCGCAGCATGGACAGAGCACGGTAAACGTGCACCCGCCGGGTGTCGGCATCTGTTCTAATCAAGCACTAATCAATTACTAAAAGAATTGGGAAGTGGATGTGTCATCTCTTGCCTGGCCTTGCATATCCTAGCTGTCCAGAAGCCACGCTCCTCAGTCCGAGTCACGCGAAACCGGGCAGAAGCTACCTATGAGCCACACGTACCGCGCGCGCAGGGTCCACCCAGTCCTCATAGAGTCCTCTAAGAGGCTCCAGAAGGACATTCCAAGGTGTGGGTGCGGTCCAGCCAGTCCTCTAAGAGACTTTAGAGGGGCATCCCAAGTCGCGCGTAATCGTAGTAGCTCTATTCCCTCCTCCGGGGCCCCCCCCCCCCAAAGAATCGTGAAGATTAAGAATCCGCAGAAGAAAATCCAATGGAACGGACCTATTAAGAACAAAAAATTTTGTTCATAATCAAGATCTAAATCCAAATATCAACAAGACTAATCGCGACGTAAATTTAGGGATTTCTTTCAAATCCGATCCGACCCGCGTGCTCGCACGGGGCAGGCGTAGATTACAGGCAACGAGTCGAAATGAAATTATCATCAAGACTCATATTGATGAGTTTCCAATCGTAAAATTAGGAATTTGCTTGAGATCTGTTTCGACGATTAGAACCTGGCTCTGGCTCATAAATGGGAAAGCAAAGCAAGGTCTGAAGTGATTGCTTCGCAATCACCGAATCCAGAAACTCCAAAATTCTGCAGAAGTTTGACATAACCAACTAGTGCTAAAAATGTAAGAGGCTAATTCCCTAACTATGACACAAAGTCAAGTGAGACCAAGAAAGCATCGATGATGTAAGGTATGTGACATGCTGAAGTAAGAGCTGGAGTCTCTGGGAACATAGACCATGGAGTCACTGAGACTCCGCTCCGCAAGCCCAACAACTCTACGAACATAGACCGTGGAGTCACTGAGACTCCGGTCTGCAAACAACAGCTCTTTCTTGAATAAGTTACACTACACCCTGAAACCCTAGCTTACCCCAAACCCCTAAGCCCTAAACCTAACCATCCTCAACAACCTAACCCTGCAATGCGGGCTCGTCCTTGCTTGGTGGGAGGGGAAAAAAAACCATCCTCGACCCCTAAACCCTTTTTTTGAGCAGGGCTGAAGGGATTCAGGACCCCTAAACCCTAAACCCCTAAACCCCAACAAAGTCGAACGATCCTCCGGGCTTGGACTGCCTGAGCCACAGAGCCGCCTCTCCTAGCTTCGGGCTTGCTGGGTTTTTTCGGCTTGGCTTTAGCCTAAAGCTTAGGGTTTTAGGGTTTTAGGGCAAAGAGGGTTTAGGGTTTAGGGCTTTCGGCGTGGCTTTAGCTTAGGGTTTTTAGGGCAAAGTGTTCCCTCTCGCATGGCTGAGAACTATGCCCACAAGCGAGGTGCGTTTAGGGCGAATACTGTAGGGTTGGAATCACTCCGTGTCCGCAAACTTCTGGAACTTGCCTTGAGGCTGTTGGGGATACGGTGGATATGCCGGATATGCATAGTTGGCCTGTGGATTTCCAGCGATGGGTGCGATCCCTGCGATCCCGGGTGGAATCTGCTGAGGCATCGACATATCCTTACTTCCCCAGTAAGCCAGAGGAACAAAAGGGTTAAACTACTTAACTACAAGAACCCACAAAGTATAAAGGTTGGGCATTGGAGACGAAGTATCCATGTTGCCACCACCCTGAGCTTCCCCATATAAGTAAGCTCGGGCTTCCTCGCGGCCTCTCTCTTCTCCTTCCTTTCTGGCAGCCACCCGAGCCTTGTAGGCTCTCCACTGATCCCATATGCAGACGCCCCAGTGGTCCGGGTAGCGACACATCAGAAAGATGTAGAGTGCACAAACGATGATCAGCAGTGAGGATGTAGAAATTGCCGCAAAGGGCTGCCAGTGGCAGGACCACCACTCGGCACCAGGCTCGTCCTCACCGCGCAAATGGCGAAGGTTGGCTTCATTCATTCTCGCGGCGACATGGGCAACGTTGCTCTTCTCCCCCACCTCGGGATAATCTACGAATATGGCCTGGACCCCATGGCCGCTTTTGAGCAGCTTCTGGTGGACTACTTCGAGGGGCGACCGGTATCCTAGGCATCCGCAAGCATACTCTGGGCATGTCTCCTCCGACTGATGTTCATGCGGGGTTGTGTCCTGGGCTGTTCTTGGAGGCCCATGAAAACTTATGACTTCCGCTCCTTCTTAAGAACAGACTTTACTGACATGACAAGTTATTCCGAAGAACGGCTAGTGACATCCTGCAGCAGACCCGCATTGAGTCGGGTAGACATACCCTTGACACTGTCGAGTGCTAAGTCGTCCTTGAGCTGGGAAAGTGCAGCTGCCTTGCACAGCGGGTCCGGGCATCTGTCGTACTGGTCGAAGCTGGGGTACCTGGCAGATCCTAAGACCTGGAAAAGAAATCCAGTGTTGCGACCAGGGAATCCCCACTTCCGTCCATTCGCATAGGCCATGAAGTCTTCCTGGAGTCTCTCAACCGTCGCTCCGGCCTGAATCTCTGGATCATAGGTGCTGTAGAAGATTCCCCTCCAGTTCTCCGGCCAGACCACCACCCGCAGGTTGAGATCCACCAGTGCGCCCATCGTGATGTTGTCGTTGGGGACGTCTCTGATCACAGCACATGACACCTGTGCGATCGGTCATCATCGAAAACGGACTTTGGGACGGATGATGGGTCATTCGGGACACAGTGCATTCTCTAGCAGAGGAACACGACACAGAGCAATCCATGACCTTCCTAGGCACCTCGGCGCGTGCAGACCAGGACGATACATCTGTCGTCCCATCGATCTCCGCGCAGGACGAGCCTGTGCCAAGCCCCCCAAACTTGGTTTTCATGAGATCTTCCCAGCGAGTCCCTCCGCGAAAGGGAATGTTGTCAGGTGAAAGAACGATCAGCTCACGCGGGTATAGGCTTAACCACTCAGCGACCTTGTCCAGGTCATCTTCGAACTTGCCTCGGAAAGCTGCCTGGCCCGTTGGTCCATGGCAGTTCAAAAAAGGACCAGCACCTGGTGTGTCTGCATGGTCGCAAAGATCCACCATGAAGGCGCGAATGCCGAAGCTTAGCTGCTCTGTGAGGTCCAAGTCATGATTCTCATAGTAGCCTCTCAAAATTTCGTTGACATCCACTAACGGTATGTCCTCCTGAATGAGCTCTGGAATCACCAAGTCGTAGGCATTGGCATTGTGGCTCCCAGCGAAGGTGTACTTGGTGAAAGGAAGGTTACAGAAGTCACCGTTGCCGTTGCAGCCCAAAGTCGGGTGAAGGAGCGACAGCGACAGCAGGCTCGTCAACGGGCACCACATGCCGTCGTGTTGACGGAAAGTCAGGAGTCCCTATAGGGTTGAACCCTACTTCATGAAGCCGAAGCTTGAGAGAGCGGGTCCGTCCCAAATTCGGAGATTCCAATACTCAAATCAGAACACAACGGAGCAAGAGATGTGAATCCCGCAACAAGCGTCGATTGCAGTTATGATTGTTGGTCTAGTTTGCAGGAAATGCTGTCCATTCTGTCTATCTATCTCATTCTGTTTCTACCGCTGTATGCATAAATAGAAGCGCCACCCACAAGACCCCATGCTCCAACATTCAAGAGTTGCAAGTTGCTCGAGGCCGAGAGAGAAGATGTGGCGAAGGGACACGAGGAAAAAGACAGTGTATCGTTCAGGGTTCCTTTTCCGTGACGCGCCCTGCGTTAAGCTACTTTTCAGGTTTGAGGGTTTGCGTTTCTCGTTTGGGTGGGGGCGGGGGGTGGGGGTCGGGGGGTAAGAACGTCATTCGTGCTGGGGCAATGCCCAAAGCACTGGTATTTACAGCCTTTCGCCTCTTCGCACAACATGCTGCGCAAGGATGTGGGGCAAGACACGTTGTCACACACATCCATGCCTTGTCGACCATCCCGAAAACACTAGTTTTGCCTCGTTGCACGGATGTGGAACAAGACGCGTTGTCACAAGCGCATAAAGCCTTGGCTGGCCTCTGCAGGAAGTGTACGGCCTGACAAAGTTTCGCTTGGAGTCTGCGCGAAAACGCTGCCGCCGCCTAGGTTCTAGCACTGTAAACATCCAAAAATGTAGGATGCTTCAATCGTTTTTGCCCTTCTGCTTGGTGCGTTTTGTCATAGATAGTGCATTTTCCAGGGGTTTTGGCAACGTGCAACAACAAGCTCTATGCACAAAAAGCAAGGCGCATGACAGGCGTCGCTACCCTGTTTTTAGGGCACTTTACCTATAGTCTCCATTGTAGTTCCTTTTGGGGGTTACCTTTTGGGATCCTTAATATAGAGTTGGTTAAACCAAAAAAAGGAACTACAATGGAGACTATAGGTAGGATCCGAAGGGCCCGTCCAAACGCAGGGGGTTCACAGGAGCCCCAGGTTGCCGCGATTTCCGAGGCAAGCCCAGCACCTCTTACCCCAAGGGTCCAAGTACTCCCTATTACAGGACTTTGGGTCCATTTTGGGTACAAATCCATTTTGGGTACAAAAGCCATAAATAAGGAATACTTGGACCCTTAGGGTCAAATTCCATGGTTTCCGGATTCCAGGATTGGGCACAAGTGCAGCGGTCTTGCCAAGGGAAGCAGCAGTTTTGCGAGTTTCGACAGAGCGCCCCTTAAATTCTGCTCCTGAAGTCCAGTGCCACACTACGCTGTCCAGAAACCTCCAGCTCTCGCCGACTCCGCTCTCTCTTACCTGAAACCATTCCAAAAAACCAACTCGGAAGTTCAAAACCGCTTGCATAAGGAAGAGAAGCCTTCATCTGATAAGGACAAGATGCCGTCTAGATGCAGATAGCAAGATCCCGGGAAAATGCGACCGCAGTCAGGACTACCGCGACGGCAGAAAACTGCTGTTCATAGGCTTACAGCTGCACAAGAATTTCTTTAGGTATGCGTGGGGAAAGCCGTGGCCCATAAAATGATGCCATCAGCAAATCGCCGGCGGCATCGAAGAGCAATGACATCCGGTCGGAACGGAAGTTGAAGATGACACCAGAAGCAAGAAGCCCTCTAAGGTCCTAAAGGAACGCGAGACCCATGAGCTCATGCAAGACAATCAATGCTCATCCGCCAGGCACGCCGCTCTTTTCAGTCGCTTCATGCATCTCAAACAGGATGGCTGCAAGGAAAGACCTGCCGATCGTCGTTGGACAGCTTTGGGATCATGCATTGCCTGACGTCGCGACAACATCCTGAAGACCCTAAACCCTAAACATCCTGAAGACCCTAAACCCTAAACCCTCTGAAGACCCTAAACCCTAAACCCTAAACATCCTGAAGAGGATTGCAAAGACTGCACGTCCCTGCAGCGGCATCCGACGAGGATAACGTGGGAGTCTTGGACTCCTGCGATCCTCAAGCATCAACCCTAAACTGTCTAATGTAGGGGCCCTATAGTTATCAGATTAAGGGTTTGGGGCCCAGTATACTATAGTTATAATAAGGAACCCCCAAAATAAAATAGGTAACTAATTATTTAGGCCCCTACATTACTTTCAAGCTGGTGCAGAGCTGTCTGCAAGTAGCTGCTACTCTGCGGCTGCTTAGGGCCATCTCCTTCTCTTTCTGGTGATTGAAAGCTTCTTCGTTTGCTTCTCACAAAGTCGCTGATTCTTGCCGTGGGCCCTGCTGCTGCGACAAGCTTCTGCTGCTCTTGAAGTGTGGCAGCAGTAGTAGTCGTCGTCGTCGTCAACGTAGCTCTAGCATTTGTAGGAGCAGTATCAGAAGCGTAGTAAGTGGTAGTAGGAGTAGGAGTACGAGTAGGAGGTAGCAGTAGGAGTAGCCGAGGAGTAGGAGTAGGAATAGGAGCAGCATCTGCAGCAGTAGTAGTAGAAGTAGTGGTAGCAGTAGTCGTCGTCGTCGTAGTAGTCGTAGTAGCAGTCGCAGTAGCAGCAGCAGTAGTAGTAGTCGTAGTAGTAGTAGTAGTAGTCGTCGTCGTAGTAGTAGTCGTCGTCGTAGTGCTAGTAGAAGTCGTCGTCGTGGCGGTGGTTGTGGTAGTGGTGCGTGGGGGCATCAGCAGCAACAGCAGCAGGGTAGTAGCCGCCGCGGCAGCAGCAACAGCAGCAGCAAGCAACCGTGGTAAGGCTTACGTCGCGGAAGAGGCGCGAGAGTGCTAGGTCGTAGCAGCAGCAGCAGCAGCAGCAGCAGCCAACAGTACAAGCTGCCATGTTTTCGCAGCAGAAGCTTGCAAGCCGGCTCGGAACCCGTAAAATAGACCTTACACCGTCGTCATGGTCCTGGCCGGCGACCTGCCCAGCAAGACTCTGGGTTCATACAGCCGGGTGCAGTCTGTTTTGGGGCGGTCGACTATTTGTTTCACTGGACATCTCATCCTGATGATGGGTGCAGGGGTTGGGTGTTGGGGTGTTGGTGTCGGGGTGTAGGGGTGTAGGGGTGTAGGGGTGCAGGGTGGAGGGGTGACCACGAAGCTGCTATCGGGTGTTTGCCCGGCCACGGCTTTTCGAAGTTTCGGTCAGATACGTCAGCTGCCGAAATGCACGACATCACATCAATAAATATGACTCAACTCAGAAGAGTCTGGCTGGTGTCTAAGAGTTCCGTATGCGGACTGGATTCAAGAACACCAGACTCTGGATACCGAATCGGAATCACTTCCGGGTTTACTGCCCCTAGACCAGGTACTCTTGCTAGACTCCAGCCTTCGCTTGCAAAAGACTCTTGCCTTCGCTGCCGAACGTCAACAATCCCACGGTTCATCGCCCCCAATCCAAGGTGCCTATCGCGACTGCCACTGCTGACCGCTGTTGGTCTTGGCACCGTGCTGCTCCACCCCCTGCAAACGACGCACTGATACACATTGCCTGTTGACACGTAGGCACCAGTACACACAAACACTATGCCCACACTAGGCTAGCATTGCCATGATCCTGCAGGTAGGGCTCACTATCAGGCGAGAGATGCGCTGACCTTACCTCAGCAGTAAACTCTCAGTAGCCGAGATGTGCACGATGTAGCTTCAACTCACCGGGGAGCTATTGACCGCATTGTCTGATGCTGCAGACTCTGGAGCATGTTACCTGTAACATCCTCCGACAACCCGGAGGTGATAGTGATGATGATGATGATCACCACTCCGGTAGTTGTGCTGGCCATGCTGACGACGACCAGTCATACTCACAAACATCCGCCTGGGGATTCTCATCCCCGCAAGACCTCCGAATAAACCCTAAACCCTGAAACAACCGGCAACGGCCTTGAGGGGGTCCAGGTCGCGCTGCCCCTCGCAGGGGCGGCCTGTCGCAGAGACGGTTTTTCGACTCTCACACACACTCGCATTTGAGTTTAGGGTTTAGGGTTTAGGGCAGGCAAGGCTCCGCGTGGTTCGGTTTCAAAGGTGTGGACTGTAGTCCCTCTTTGCATCAGGACTTGGAAAGTCCCAAAACACTAAGTAGGGGGCGACGTCCGAAGTCTCGCAGTAGTCGTGGTCTCGCTAGAACTGATTAATGGGACGGCCATCACACAAGTTTGAGACCAGGCGTGCAACGCAGGCACTCTATGGACTCGAGACAAAAGCTAGCAGCCAGCAAAGCAGGGCTTCTGTAGCGGTGTAGGATCATGCGACTTGGTCACGGTTCTTATAAAGGTTCTTCGAAGGTTGCACTAGAGTATAGCGCCTTTTTTTGGGCTTTAGACCTACTTTCAGGGCTCACAAATCAGCAACTCAATACGTGAGCATCCCTCTGCCACCATCCAGGAAACAGGATCACTTGGGCTCCAGAGAAGACATCTTGGCCCCAGGCTTGCACCTGCTTTGCTTCATACCAGTGTTTTACGCGATGGAAACTGAAGGTTCGCTGTCGCATACTACACTGTGTTCTACTGTACTTGGAGGTTCATGGGCAGTTAGAAGTATGGTTATAGAGTCCCCTAATTTGGGTTGCCTTACTTATAACCCCACTTATAACTACCCATGACCCTCCAAGTATCCTGTACAGGACCGTACACATCGTAGAATCCCACAATGTGTGGTTTGCTTCCACTGGTGCGCTACCATGTCATGCTGCATTTGTCACCCTGAAGACTTGCGACACAACGCTATGCATGTGATGTTCGTGCCATGGTGTGACATGCGCAAGACAGAAACACCTGCATAGAAGTCGCCATGTTTCAGGTGTTTATGTGCGTATACGTGGTGTATACATAATTATACGCCAACCTACCTAACCTGCCTGCCTGCCTGCCTGCCTGCCTGCCTGCCTGCCTGCCTACCTACCTACCTACCTACCTACCTACCCGGAATACAGTGTAAGTAGAAGGAAGGTTCGTACAACTTATAAAGCGATAC